GCGGGGAGCCAAGCGAGAAGCCCGGGGCCCCGCCGAAGGTGCGGCGGTAGGAGGACACGCGCTGGCTGGAAGAGTAGGCCTGGCTCATAGTGGCGGCGGGCGAGGCTGGGCTGGCGCAAGGAGGAGGCAGCGGGCGGCGGACTGCCGGCTGGAGAGTGGATGCGGCCAGGGGAGATAGAGCCCCTAGCCGGGCGCACTATTTGTAGCCCTCCTGACATCAGCCCCGTCGCCCCTCCCTTGACAGCTGCAGGATCCCGCTGTCCTGCCAGGAAAGGGAGGCCGCTGGGCTGGCCGTGGGGGAGGGGAGGCAGCTCCCTCGCACTCGCCCAGATTCCCTGAGTCCCTGAGCCTGCGGAGCTCGGTAGGCTCAGGAGATCCGTAGAAGGGCGCTTCACCAGGGCTGCCAGCCCCATTCAACCCCTGGGTGCTTTCCTAATCCTGGGGCTACTGATTTCCATTTAGGTTGACGGTTTTGTTTTTCCTCCAAAAAGAAATTTGGGGTCATTTGAAGAGTCAAGGCCTGTACCCAAAAAGGCCTCAAACTATCTAATTTCTAAAGATTCTCTAGAAGTTGCAGAATCTGGGGATGGCTCAGGAGAAGGCCAGGAGTCCACCAGTCATACCGGAGCTGGCTCTCTAGGCAGGGAAGGGCAGAGAGCAATCCTGGCCAGAGCCTCCCTGCCCATGTGTGTCTAGTGGCACCCGGGTTCTGGGTCTGAGCCTCATTTTCACCCTAGGTGTATGTAGTCCCTCTCCCTCCCCTGTACCCATGGAGAGGGCTCCGAGTTTGGAAGCCGCAGTGTGATTTCCAGAAAGTCTCTGATGTGCTCTCAGTTAGCAATTGCTGTGTACAGTCCCACCCCTGCACCTACTCCCCTGGCTCGTGACCCTTTGTCCCAGTCACTCCCTCTGATTCATCCCCCTACTCACACCACCCACACCCACTCACACGAGGGGTTTGTGTTTTGTCAGGAGCTTCGTGTCACCCCAGCCATCTCCCTGGCAGCAACAGCTGCCAACCCAAAATACCAGAGGTGGTATTTATAGAGGAGAAAGCATGGGGCTGGAAAAAAAGGTACAGGAAAGGCGCAGGGTGGGAGGCACCTGAGGGGCAGGATGGTCGAGAAAGGCTAGGGACAACAAGCCTCAATCACCTCCCACCCCTCCAGTGCTCCAGACCCACAACAAGAATGAAGTACCAAAGAAGGCTGGCCTGTTCCTTCACGGCCTTCCATGCCAGAAGACACTCGCTGACCCCTAAAGATGGTCGCACTTCTTCATGTCTCTACACCTTGACCAGGCCCTGTACAGGCCTCTCTTTGGCCTGACCTCCTGGAATGCAAACTCTGGAACAGAGCACTGTATTGGAAGCCTGCAGCTAAACCTACCCCAGCCCTGCCATCAGCAGGATTGTCATTCACTTCTCTGAGCCTCATGGTCCTCACCTGTACCGTGGGATAGGCCAGCCTCCCCATACCTACCCTGTAGGGATTCAAGGGGGCCCAGACAACAATAATGCCCACAACAATAATAATAACAGTACTATCCATGTCCTGACCACTTACTGGATGCCAGTACTACTGTGAGCACTTCATACCCATGAGCCCCACAGTCCTCCAACGACCCCATGCAGTAGGGACTGGCATTATTCCCATTTCATAGCTCAGGAGACTGAGTGAGGTATCTGACTCCAGAGCCTGAGCTTTGGTTCCAGGCTAGGTATGACTGTGCCAGGTGAACTGTAAAGGGCTTTGTCACTGCTGGCTTTTCAGAGCCCTTTGGTATTAAATGTCTAATTTTTATCCAAGAGACAATCTGATGAGGTGGTTGGTAAGTATGAGATATTCTTATCCAGCCTTGGAGTCAGTGCAAGCTGTCATGTTCTGGTTATTTTTGTGCCTCAGCTCCTAATCTAGACTGTTTGCTCCAGGAGGATTTTAGAAGCACTGTGGATCCTTAACACAAGCCTGGCAGCACCATCCATTGTCCGCTTTTCTTGCTCATCATTTATTTTGATGACAAAAAGCTTCATCTCCTCCCTGTCCCCACCCTGACCCTCAAAAAGCACATATGGGAGAGCCTGCATTCCCCTCACTTCAGTGATTGGCTCAATGGCTGGGCCTGGGTCTGAGCAGAACCAATCAGAGACTTTCTCTGGGATTTGTAGGTGGAACTGGGACGGCTAAACTGGAGCCTGTGGGGGCTTTGTTTCCTATCCACTGAGGAAATAGGGGGAGAGAGCTGGACAAGTAGGAGACAGAGGAACCGGGAGAGGAGTAGCAGGCCAGGGCTGGCAGTTCTCAATGCTAGCCCCAGGGACACTGCTTCTTATAGGCACATCTCTGACTTTGTGAGCTCCTTCTCTGTCCTCTGAGCTTTGGGCCAATGTTCATTTTCCTTTTTTCATTTAAAGTCCAGGGCCAGGGATTTAGCTCAGTGGATCCACGGCCTGCCTCACAAGTGCAAGGACCCAAGTTCAATCCCTGGTACCAAAACAATAAAAAAATAAAGTCCTTGGTGGTGGCTTCTGTTACTTGCAGCCCAAAGAACTTGACTAATCTGCTGTAGGAGGCTGCACACTAATTTCTATGATGCTGCAAAGGATGATATTTCTGGGACTCCCCTCTGTGAATAGTCTCTAAACTACATAAGGAAATTGGCTTTTGAACCAGCCCTCAGCCTCAGTTCCTTGGTGAAATGAGGCAGAAAACAAATAAATAAATTATACCATTTATTCTCTAGTCAAAATCAACAGCTACCAGACTTGGCTCTGAGCCATCTGGGACTGCCTCCAAAATTCAGTTCCACACCCAAGGATTTGCTACCATGGAGGGCAGCAAAACAACACCCTAGGGCCTGGAAGGCAGGTGAAAGAGGAGCGCTCCAAAACATGCCCCAAGTTGAGCAGCACCACTAGGGCAAGAGTTCAGCTTCCCAAGGCACTGCTTAGAAGTGGATGCATTAGAAATAATCCTACTTTATCTGAATGCATAAGGTACATGATACAGAATTCAAGACATATAAGCTACTAGGGTTTTTTTTTTTTTCCATACTTTGGCACCCATCCTCCTGTAACCCTCCTCAAAGACAATCAGTTTTAGATTGTTGCAGTTATGTCTCTTTTCAGAGATACTTTGTGCGTATACATTTGTATAAGGGCATATGGAGGCCCTCCCTACTGGTCAAGCTTTTTTTCCACAAACAGATCAATTGTTCCATCTTAGTACATTGACAGATGGTTTTTTTGTGTGTGTAGTGAAATGAACATACCATGAAATTGACCATTTTAGCCATTTTTAAGAATACGGTTCAGAGTCATCAAATACATTTGCATTATTGTCAACCGTCACAATTATCCACCTCCAGAATGCTTTCATTCTCTCAAGCTGTAATCCTATAACCATCAAAATTAACTCTCCATTCTCCCTCCCTCCTCACCCCTGGAAACCACTGTCAAAAACGTAAACTGAGGCACAAAAGCTTCTGAAGCGTTTGTTTGAGGAAACAGTGAATTCATGAATTGGGCAGCTCCCAACCAGAAAGTGGTTCAGGAGCTCTAGGGAAGAAATGCAAGGGGGAAGTAGGTGTTCATTGGACGAATACAAAAAGAAAGCAAAGAGAATATTTGATCTGTTACAGTTATACCGTTGGCTTATTTAGTTTGTCTGATTGGAAGATCCCTCATAACATAATTATGAATTTGTAGGTTGTTTCTGATTGTTTGCATTTGTTTTGTTTTTCTTCAACACAGACTTTTTTTTTTTTTTTTTTTTTTTGGTACCAGGGATTGAACTCGGGTCCTTGCGCTTGCAAGGCAGGCTGCCGAACCGCTGAGCTAAATCCCCGGCCCATCTTTGTATATTTTAGATATTAATCCTTTATCAGATATATAATTTGCAAATATTTTCTCCCATTCTGTGAGTTGCCTTTTAACTCTCTCAATAGTGTCCTTTGATACACAGAAGTTTTTAATTTTGATGAAGTCCAATTTATCTTTTTTTTTTCTTTCCTCCTATGTTTTCTTCTGAGTTTTATGGTTTTAGCTCTTGTGTTTGGGTATCTGATCCATTTTAAATTAATTTATATATAGGGCATAAGTTAGAGATCCAACTTTACTTTTTTGTGTGTCAATATCCAGTTTTCCTAGCATCATTTGTTGAAATCTGTGCTTTCTTCATTGAATGGTCTTGGTACCCTGGTTGAAAATCATTTAATCATATATGTGAAAGTTTGTTTCTGGGCTCTCTGTCCTATTCCATTAGCCTGTATCTCTTTATTCTGGTACCACACTGTTGTGATAACTGTACCTTTGTGGTAAGTTTTGAAAAATCAGGAAATGTGAGTTTGCCAACTTTGATCTTTTTTGAGATTTTTTTTTTTCTGATTTGAAGTCTCTTGAGACTCCATACAATTTTTAAGGTGGATTTTTCTATTTCTCAAAAAAAATTGATGAGTTTATGCTGAATCTATATATTACTTGGGGTAATCTTTACATCTTAACAATATCGTCTTTCAGTCCATGAAAATGGGACGTCTTTCCATTTACAGTGGTAACTCAGTTGCAAATTCAATTTTCTCCTCAATTCTGGTCACTAACCTAACTGGACAAAAACCAAATCAAATTTCCCCATGAGAGCCGGGTGTGATAGCGCACACCTGTAATCCCAGCACTCGGGAGGCTGAGGCAGGAGGATCACTGTGAGTTTGAGACCAGCCTGGGCTACATAGTGAGTTCCAGGTCAGTCTCAACTAGATAGTGAGACCCTGTCTCAAAAAAAAATTTTTCCTCATAAGGTCAGCATTGAAACTAACCATTAAATTTGAATCAGTTCTTGTCCGATTCAGTTTGTGACGAGCATTGTGGAAAGAATCACATTCATGAACTGAGGCACCACTGCATTTGTGTCTCTATTTTAGCAGCACATGTGCAGCTTTCAGTGCATGCATCTTATGCCTCAGTTATGTTTACAGCTAAGTATTTTATTCCTTTTTATGTTATTGTAAATGCAATTGTTTTCATTTATCATTAATGAGAGGATCACATGAATTTTCCCTTTCATTCTCTTAATGTGGTCTATTATACCAATGAATTTTTATATGTTAAACTGTCCTCCATTCCAGGAATAAATAACTTAGAATGCACACCCTCCTTTTCTAATTTTTGGAAGAATTTGAGAAGGAGTGGTGTTCTTAAAATGTTTAGTAGAGCTCACCAGTAAAGCCACTTGTTACTTTACTTTTTTGTTATGAAGTTTTAATATTTTTCAATATTCTTTAATATCTTTAATGATCCTTTTTAATATCTGCATTTGTAATTCACATGTGAATTTGGCATTATTAATTTGGCAGTTTCTATTGATAGATACATATATTGTTTTCAGTTTTTTGCTATCATAAGCAATGCTGCTGTGAA